AAAGAGGAAATCAAAAAATACCTAGAAACAAATGACAATGGAGACACGACGACTCAAAATCTATGGGATGCAGCAAAAGCAGTTGTAAGAGGGAAGTTTATAGCAATACAATCCTACCTTAATAAACAGGAAACATCTCGAATAAACAACCTAACTTTGCACCTAAAGCAATTAGAGAAAGAAGAACAAAAATACCCCAAAGTTAGCAGAAGGAAAGAAATCATAAAAATCAGATCAGAAATAAATGAAAAAGAAATGAAGGAAACGATAGCAAAGATCAATAAAACTAAAAGCTGATTCTTTGAAAGGATAAACAAAATTGATAAACCATTAGCCAGACTCATCAAGAAAAAAAGGGAGAAGACTCAAATCAATAGACTTAGAAATGAAAAAGGAGAAGTAACAACTTACACTGCAGAAATACAAAAGATCATGAGAGATTACTACAAGCAACTCTATGCCAATAAAATGACCAACCTGGAAGAAATGGACAAATTCTTAGAAAGGCACAACCTGCCAAGACTGAATCAGGAAGAAATAGAAAATATGAACAGACCAATCACAAGCACTGAAATTGAAACTGTGATTAAAAATCTTCCAACAAACAAAAGCCCAGGACCAGATGGCTTCACAGGTGAATTCTATGAAACATTTAGAAAGAGCTATCACCTATCCTTCTCAAACTCTTCCAAAATACAGCAGAGGGAGGAACACTCCCCAACTCATTCTACGAGGCCACCATCACCCTGATACCAAAACCAGACAAGGATGTCACAAAGAAAGAAAACTACAGGCCAATATCACTGATGAACATAGATGCAAAGATCCTCAACAAAATACTAGCAAATAGAATCCAGCAGCACATTAAACGGATCATACACCATGATCAAGTGGGGTTTATTCCAGGAATGCAAGGATTCTTCAATATACGCAAATCAATCAACGTGATACACCATATTAACAAGTTGAAGGAGAAAAACCATATGATCATCTCAATAGATGCAGAGAAAGCTTTTGACAAAGTTCAACACCCATTTACGATAAAAACCCTGCAGAAAGTAGGCATAGAGGGAACTTTCCTCAACATAATAAAGGCCATATATGACAAACCCACAGCCAACATCATCCTCAATGGTGAAAAACTGAAAGCATTTCCACTAAGATCAGGAACAAGACAAGGTTGCCCACTCTCGCCACTCTTATTCAACATAGTTTTGGAAGTTTTAGCGACAGCAATCAGAGAAGAAAAGGAAATAAAAGGAATCCAAATCGGAAAAGAAGAAGTAAAGCTGTCACTGTTTGCAGATGACATGATACTATACATAGAGAATCCTAAAGATGCTACCAGAAAACTACTAGAGCTAATCAATGAATTTGGTAAAGTAGCAGGATACAAAATTAATGCACAGAAATCTCCTACATTCCTATACACTAACGATGAAAAATCTGAAAGTGAAATCAAGAAAACACTCCCATTTACCACTACAACAAAAAGAATAAAATATCTAGGAATAAACCTACGTAATAAGACAAAAGACCTGTATGCAGAAAATGATAAGACACTGATGAAAGAAATTAAAGATGATACAAATAGATGGAGAAATATACCATGTTCTTGGATCGGAAGAATCAACACTGTGAAAATGACTGTACTACTCAAAGCAATCTACAGATTCAATGCAATCCCTATCAACCTACCAGTGGCATTTTTCACAGAACTAGAACAAAAAATTTCACAATTTGTATGGAAACAGAAAAGACCCCGAATAGCCAAAGCAATCTTGAGAATGAAAAATGGAGCTGGAGGAATCAGGCTTCCTGACTTCAGACTATACTACAAAGCTACAGTAATCAAGACAGTATGGTACTGGCACAAAAAACAGAAATATAGATCAATGGAACAGGATAGAAAGCCCAGAGATAAACCCACGCACATATGGTCACCTTATCTTTGACAAAGGAGGCAGGAATGTACAGTGGAGAAAGGACAGCCTCTTCAATAAGTGGTGCTGGGAAAACTGGACAGCTACATGTAAAAGTATGAGATTAGATCACTCCCTAACACCATACACAAAAATAAGCTCAAAATGGATTAAAGACCTAAATGTAAGGCAAGAAACTATCAAACTCTTAGAGGAAAACATAGGCAGGACACTCTATGACATAAATCACAGCAAGGTCCTTTTTGACCCACCTCCTAGAGAAATGGAAGTAAAAACAAAAGTAAACAAATGGGACCTAATGAAACTTCAAAGCTTTTGCACAGCAAAGGAAACCATAAAGAAGACCAAAAGACAACCATCAGAATGGGAGAAAATATTTGCAAATGAAGCAACTGACTAAGGATTAATCTCCAAAATTTATAAGCAGCTCATGCAGCTTAATAACAAAAAAACAAACAACCCAATCCAAAAATGGGCAGAAGACCTAAATAGACATTTCTCCAAAGAAGATATACAGACTGCCAACAAACACATGAAAGAATGCTCAACATCACTAATCACTAGAGAAATGCAAATCAAAAAACTACAATGAGATATCATCTCACACCAGTCAGAAGGGCCATCATCAAAAAATCTAGAAACAGTAAATGCTGGAGAGGATGTGGAGAAAAGGGAACCCTCTTGCACTGTTGGTGGGAATGTAAATTGATACAGCCACTGTGGAGAACAGTATGGAGGTTCCTTAAAAAACTACAAATAGAACTACCATATGACCCAGCAATCCCACTCCTGGGCATATACCCTGAGAAAACCATAATTCAAAAAGAGTCATGTACCAAAATGTTCATCGCAGCTCTATTTACAATAGCCCGGAGATGGAAACAACCTAAGTGTCCATCATTGGCTGAATTGGTAAAGCAGATGTGGCACATATATACAATGGAATATTACTCAGCCATAAAAAGAAACGAAATTGAGCTATTTGTAATGAGGTGGATAGACCTAGAGTCTGTCATACAGAGTGAAGTAAGCCAGAAAGAGAGAGACAAATACCGTATGCTAACACATATATATGGAATTTAAGAAAAAAAAATGTCATGAAAAACCTAGGGGTGAAACTGGAATAAAGACACAGATTTACTAGAGAATGGACTTGAGGCTATGGGGAGGGGGAAGGGTAAACGGTGACAAAGCAAGAGAGAGGCATGGACATATATACACTACCAAACGTAAGGTAGATAGCTAGTGGGAAGCAGCCGCATAGCACAGGGAGATCAGCTCGGTGCTTTGTGACCGCCTGGAGGGGTGGGATAGGGAGGGTGGGAGGGAGGGAGACGCAAGCGGGAAGAGATATGGGAACATATGTATATGTATAACTGATTCATTTTGTTGTGAAGCTGAAACTAACATACCATTGTAAAGCAGTTATACTCCAATAAAGATGTTAAAATAAAAAAAAGAAAATACTCTGTAATGGCCTACATGGGAAAGGAATCTAAAAAAGAGTGGATATATGTATACGTATAACAGATTCACTTTGCTGTATACCTGAAATTAACATAACATTGTAAATCAACTAGACTCCAATAAAAATGAAAAAAAAAATCTGGGTTACTGAAGTCTAAAAACTGATAAAACAAAATTAAAAAAAGAAAGTAAACTTCTCAGTTTAAAGAATGCTCAGAAGTGATGGACCTTTGATTTATTTTTTCAGTCTCCTGAAACCTGACTGCTTGTCTGTGAGGATATTTTCCTCACATTGCACAGAATTCTGAAACGTATACTTTTATGTACGTCATCTCCAAGTCATAAAAAACATCTCTGATTAACGTTGTAGGCAGAGCTAACCTATAATCAAAATCACAACTGGTAATCATTTCAACACTAGTATACATCCAGCTGATTATTTTGACATGGATTTCCTGATGAATGACTACATGTCCAAAGCTGAATTCATCCCTTCTGTAAAAACACGAGCTTTTCGTATTTATTTATAATTCTTCTAGTCAGCCAGTTCTAAATTGAGATCATTTTAATTATTTCTTTTTGCTCCCTACATCCAACCAGTTGCCAAACCTGATTATTCCACATTCACAGTATCTCTCTGTTGACTTTACTTTTTCTCACTTCTACTGACATAATCCTAGTTTGAGTCTCTGATGTCTTTTGCTAAAGTTGTTCAATGAACTTCTATATAACATTGGAATTACAACTATAAAAGTGAACTCTTGGGCTTCCCTGGTGGCGCAGTGGTTGATGGTCCACCTGCCGATGCAGGGGACACGGGTTCGTGCCCCAGTCCGGGAGGATCCCGCGTGCCGCGGAGCGGCTGGGCCCGTGAGCCATGGCCGCTGAGCCTGGGCGTACGGAGCCTGTGCTCCGCAACGGGAGGGGCCACAACAGTGAGAGGCCGGAGTACCGCAAAACAAACAAACAAAACAAATGGTCAGGTGTCCAGGCAAGCTGAGTCTTAGAGGGCACAGTAAAAGGGATTAGAAAATGAAGAGGAAACACATTTTCACACTAAAGTCATAGAATAGTTAAAAAGGAAGATAAACCCCTCTGATTATATACAAACTTCTATTTCAGAGATTAGCAAACTATGGTCTGGGGTCCAGATCTGACCCCTGGCATGATTTTGTTTGGCCTGCGAGTTGATTTTTTTTTTTTTTTCACTTTTAAAGTATTGTTAAAAACAATAAAGAGAAAAAGGAAAAGAGAAGGAAAAAGCAAGACTATATGACAAAGATAGTGTGTGGTCTGCAAAGCCTAAACTATTTGCTTATGGTCAAGTTTACCAACCCTAGCATGTAGCATATGATTATTTCCATTTAGACCTAGGGAGCAGCTAGTTTTGCATGCAAACACAAATATACGTGATTGGTGGGATTCCTACTACAGTCACACATAAATTCATGGAATCACAATTATAGTCAAAGCTTAGTATTGACCGTCACACAGGCATACATCAGTACGGACACTCAGTACCAAATTCTAGCCAGGCTGCTGGTAGCTACGTGTTTATTTCTCTTGGCAAGGGAAATAAAGTCCCTGGCAACGCTGAAGGCTCACGATCCACCTTCCAGTAACTAACCAACCTCTAATAAATATATAATTGTGCCTTTGATATTGTTTTACTTTAGTTTTTCCTTCCAAATTTATCCACACCTTCTCCTCCAATGAAAGAAGCAATTGTCTTCTGTGTCTTAAAGATGAAACCTCTGCGTTTTCTCTGCTTGTTTAGGGCAAGAAATGAAGTGCTGCCTCTTTAACTGGCAGAAGCGCACGGCTCGGTGGGTCTGCAGGATCCCCTCAGCCTGGAGCAAAATATTGTCCCCGGGTGGGGAGAGGAGGATCACCCTGCCATACCTCCCGGGGGTGTGTAAGTCCGAATAGAGCTGGCTTTTGGACTGGTCCAGGGGGAAAAGGCTGCTGGCCAGGCTGCGCTCGATCTTGGCCAGGCTGTGGCTGGGAGCGACCAGGCGCTCCAGGTCGCCCTCGGGCTGGAAGCGGTTGAGTGCGCCGAGGCCGAAGGTGATGGTCAGGACCGCGGGCACGGTGAGGAAACAGACCGGGTGCCGGCTCACGCACGAGCCCAGCCTGTGGCAGGACGACTGGAACCCTCTGCGAAGCACCTGCCGCAGCATCCTCTACCAGGTCTAGCACAGTGACAGGTGCAGCACCAGACCCTCTCACTCGTCACGGTCACCTGGCTTCACGATCGCCCACCTCGCGGTCTCATCGCCGCCATGCCAGCAATCCACACCTAGCCCTCCGCCGTCCCTTTATCTCGCGCCAGCGCTTTTCCAGGTGCTTCTCTGGCACACTCTCTTTGCACTTTTTCACACACAGCAGCAGGTGCTACGAGACAGCAAATTCTTTTCTCTCTCTCTTTTTTTTTTTTTTTGGCCGGCGGCGGGGCATGCGGGATCTTAGTTCCCTAACCAAGGATGGACCCTGCTCCCCCTGCAGTTGAAGCGCGGAGTCTTAACCATGGGACCTCTAGGGAAGTCCCAAAGGGTTAGCAAATTCTTAGACTGCCCGTTTCCTGCGGCCTCAGACCCCGGTTTCCGCTGCGCTCCCTGCCTGAGCCCCCGGATCTTTAAGTCTCCATCTCGAGGCAACCCTCCTACCCTCACCCATTCCGGCAGGTTCGCCCACCCTCCTCGGGGGAGGTGGCCAGTGGGGACCGGTCCGCCTGAGTGGATTTCCTCTCCTCCCGGATGAACTGCGTTTCCTAACTAGAACTCTGTAAAATGGGACTCTGTAAACATGTTAATACCTGTCCCACTAGAGGGGGTCAGAGAGGAGTGGGTGGTGAAAAAAGCGAAATACTCTTTAAAGAATAGTCATTTTTTGGTAAGAATTTTTGTTGTTGTTGCCACCTCCTCCCTTGGCAAGGAAATGGAGGAATCAATGAAATGAGGATGATGGCCCAATAAATTATGGGCTTTTTAGAGCCAGAGAGGCTGGTGGAAGGCGGACTTGAGAAGACAACTTTGAACACGTTCCAATATCCTCTACGCACTAATTTTGTTTTGATTGGATGACAAGCAGCAGACAGGGGCTATGCTGCATTTTTAATAAGTCAGTGTGTTTAGGTTCTTTGCAATACACCGCTCAAAACCCGCAGCTGCGGACTGCACAGAAGTGTAATCTCTGCCGGGGCGCATGGGCTCTCCCCAGAGGAGAGGGCCCTGGAACAGCGGCCTTGGCAGTTGGTGCCAGCACCTAGCGATCAAATGTATGCCCTGCAGGTACGCAATTCTTTATGCTCATCAGGACTAAAAAGAAAGAGTCCTTAAAGCTGAACCGTCATCCCCTGGGCGCCCTCCGCCACCTCAGTTGGTTCTCCCCTGAGCCAAGCCTTAACTCCGCCTCTGCACTCTGTTTGGCTCCCTGAAGGTGGGTAGTTGGGATGCTGAGCTACTTTCCTGCTCTGAGCTGAAATCCAGCAGCAAACTGGCTACATTGTTAGTTACAAACAAACAAGAGGAAAGTTACAAACATTGAGACAAGAGGAAAAGGGGAAGTGGCAAAGAGGCTCACAACTGCGTTTGACTGATGGGGAAACACGAGACATTTACTTTTTGTGAAAGGAAAAATCAGACTTCTGGAGGGTTCAATCACTTCACCCTTGGCAGGACTACCTCTAAAGCATTAGAAGAGTGTGCTCTGGGCATTTGCAGATTCAGATTTTAACAGTTTTAACTATCTTGAGGTACATAGTAGTTCACTTTAATATTCCGTTCATATATTTGAAACTTTTATAGTAAAAGTTAAAAGCAAGAATATGTGTCTACATATATACAAAAAGGTACATATAGATTCAAAAGATATATAGATATAAGCAAATATATAAAAAATATATACAGGGCTTCCCTGGTGGCGCAGTGGTTGAGAGTCCGCCTGCCGATGCAGGGGACACGGGTTCGTGCCCCGGTCTGGGAAGATCCCACATGCCGCAGAGCGGCTGGGCCTATGAGCCATGGCCGCTGAGCCTGCGCGTCCGGAGCCTGTGCTCCGCAACGGGAGAGGCCACAACAGTGAGAGACCCGCGTACCACAAAAAAAAAAAAAAAAAAAGCAAGTATACAGGAGGACTGCATAGTTTATATGCAAATACTGTGCCATTTTATATAAAGGATTGAGCAGCCACACATTTTGGTATCAATGGGAGTCCTGGAACCAAGTCCATACAGATACAAGGGATGACTGTGTAAGAACAAAACAGATAGGACTTGGTGATGATGAAATCTGAGTGTGTACACTAGAAGCGAAGCATGGTAATTCTTGAATGTACAACTTGCATATGTGAGAATAAAAGCAGTATCCAGCTCTGATTTCAGTCATAGTAATAAAGGGATATATAAGAGTAGTGAACTCCACGAGCAAACACATCTAGGTTAAAAAATACTAACTCTTGGGAAAGTTGGACAGCCGCATGTAAATCAATGAAGTTAGAACACACCTTCACGCCATGCACAAAAATAAACTCAAAATGATTTAAAGACTTAAATATAAGACACGACACCATAAAACTCCTAGAAGAGAACATAGGCAAAATATTCTCCGACATAAATCTTACCAATGTTTTCTTAGGTCAGTCTACAAAGGCAATAGACAATAAAAAAGCAAAAATAAATGAATGGGACCTAATCAAACTTACAAGCTTTTGCACAGCAAAGGAACCATACACAAAATGAAAAGAAAACCTGTGGACTAGGAGAAAATATTTGCAAATGATGTGACCAACAAGGGCTTAATTTCCAAAATGTACGAATAGCTCATAAAACTCAATAACAAAAAAACAACCCAATCAAAAAATGGTCAAAAGACTTAGACAGTTCTCCAATGAACATACACAGGTTGCCAACAAACACATGAAAGGATGCTCAACAACACTAATCATTAGAGAAATGCAAATCAAAACTACAATGAGGTATCACCTCACGCCAATCAGAATGGCCCTTATCAAAACTCTGCCAACAATAAATGCTGGAGAGAGTGTGGAGAAAAGGGAACCCTCTTGCACTGTTGGTGGGAATGTAAATTGATACAGCCACGATGGATGGAGAACAGTATGGAGGTTCTTTAAAAAACTAAAAATAGGACTACCATATGACCCAGCAATCCCACTACTGGGCATATACCCTGAGAAAACCGTAATTCAAAAAGAGTCATGTACCACAATGTTCACTGCAGCTCTATTTACAATAGCCAGGACATGGAAGCAACCTAAATGTCCATCGACAGATGAATGGATAAAGAAGATGTGGCACACATATACAATGGAATATTACTCAGCCATAAAAAGAAATGAAATTGAGTTATTTGTAGTGAGGTGGATGGACCTAGAGACTGTCATACAGAGTAAGTCAGAAAAAGGAAAACAAATACCATATGCTAACACATATATACGGAATCCAAAAAAAAAAAAAATTCTGAAGAACCTAGAGGCAGGACAGGAATAAAGATGTAGACGTAGAGAATGGACTTGAGGACACGGGGAGGGGGAAGGGTAAGGTGGGACGATGTGAGAGAGTGGCATGGACATATATACACTACCAAATGTAAAACAGATAGCTAGTGGGAAGCAGCCGCATAGCACAGAGAGATCAGCTCGGTGCTTTGTGACCACCTAGAGGGGTGGGATAGGGAGGGTGAGAGGGAGACGCAAGAGGGAGGAGATATGGGGATATATGTATATGTATAGCTAATTCACTTTGTTTTACAGCAGCAACTAATACAACATTGTAAAGCAATTATACTCCAATAAAGATGTTAAAAAGAAAAAGTGCATGGGATTTCAGGTCAGACGACAGGCGTTTGGTGGACATTTGGTCAAGGATCTCTCAACAAAGTTGTAAAAAACATTACTAATGTGGCTGAAATTCCTCCGAATTTTGCTATTCAACCATGGTTTTCCCAAAATTGTCTGCAAATCAGCCTTTTTTTCTTCCTTTCCAAGTCGTGGATACAGGGCACCAATTTCTGGCGCCTTTTACCTGTGGCAACAGAAACGTGCCATTTATATGAGATACAAGTTAGAGGAGTGGGAAGAGAATAGGACTGGAGACGTGCAAAATGAAACGCTAGCCCCATCAACACCATTTGCTCAGAATCTTGGTGGAGAGAAGTTCCCTTCATTGTGATGCAGAATTATGCCGCTGCATACAGAGCTTAGAGAATAAAGTGAAATAGAAACAACATCGATTTTAAGTCTCCACTAAGGATTGGGAGTCAGGACTGATTTAAGGTGTCATCACAAAAGAGATCTGAAGCTGTGTGCAAATCCCTTAGCCTCTGTAGAATTCATTCTCCTTAATGTAAAATGAAGACAAAAAGAATTTCAAGGTAATGTCCACTTATAAAATGATAGCTGTCTATTCTTGAGGATATTTAAGAATCTGAATTAAAATTTTATACATTTTGTAATTTAAAATTCTTAATGGATTGTGTACATTTGTTGTAACAGAAAAAAACCACATATGATTAATTTTGCTAATATTTCACCATTATGGTTATTACAGTTAAAGTATTTTTTAAAATCTATGATTATGGTAATCCATGACTTCCACAAATTCTAATAAGGCAAGAATATTTCCTAGATATAACCACGTTGAGGGAAGTCATCAAAAAGGCATGACCACCAGTTGAACCCTGGAGCTTGACCTGGGCAATTGGAGGCTCCTCACCCGCTCCCCTGTCCTCAGAATGTGCATTCCCTTTGCCTTCTCCACTCCCAGAAGCTGCCCCAAGGATACAGCCCTGAGTTAATAACTTGATGATGGGACTATCTCAACTGTACGTGACTGCACATATTTAAAGCCTCTATATAAATTTTCAGATTCTGGCAAGCTAATGTAGAGATCTACTCGTCTTTTGGTGCTCAAGACAAGCCTTGTAAGTAAGTTCCCTTGTTTGTTAAAGCTGCCACCTGCCAATCTAGAGACTTCTGCCTCTTTCTTTGGTCTCTCCATGCCCTTCACCTACAGGGGCTGGTTTCAGATTACGCCTGGCAAGCACCTGAGGAGATTTGGAACCAACATTCCAAAAATGGGCTTCCTAATGCAAATGAGAAACCAAAACGGAGGCCACAATTTGAATAGTCCCCTAGACCAATAACTCATAGTCACAAAACTGTCCTGATTCCCTTGAAATGATAACTCTGACCTTAAACAAAACTTAAGTTTTCTTCATAGCAGCACAACCTTATAGCTTCCTAGACAACTGGCTACAAACAAGTAAGCATACACAGTGCTATTATCTTATAAAGGAACAAAGTTTCTAGTAACCAATCACAATAGAAAACAATGTTCAAAAAGAGAGCACAGAAATAAGCCCACACACTTATGGTCAATTAATCTATGACAAAGGAGGCAAGAATATACAATGGAGAAAAGGCAGTCTCTTCAATAAGAGGTGCTGGGAAAATTAGACAGCCACATGTAAAGGAATGACATTAGAACATTCTCTAACACCATATACAAAAATAAACACAAACCTAAATGTAAAGCCAGAAACCATAAAACTCCTAGAGGAAAACACAGAACACTCTTTGACATAAATCATAGCAATATTTTTCTATATGTCTCCTAAAGCAAAGGAAATAAAAGCAAAAATAAACAAATGGGACCTAATTAAACTTAAAAGCTTTTGCACAGTGAAGGAAACCACTGACAAAATGAAAAGACAATCTACTGAATGGGAGAAAATATTTGCAAATGATAACCAATAAGGAGTAAATAGCCGAAATATATAAATAGCTCATACAACTCAACATCAAAAAAACAAACAACCCGATTAAAAAATGGGCAGAAAACCTGAATAGACATTTTTTCCAAAGAGGAAATGCAGTTGACCAATAGGAACATGAAAAGATGTTCAACATTGCTAACCATCAGGGAAATGCAAATCAAAACCACAATGAGATAGCACCTCACACCTAAAAGTTTTGATTCTATATTTTATATAATAAACCTGCTTCTCATTTTAATAGTTCTCTGATAAAATTTTAAAAGATTAATAATGGCATCTAGTTCCACCTACAGCGTGGTCATTACTCTCAAACTGTAAACCTTATGGACTT